CGCAGTTTTACTAAAAATACCTAGAGCCTTAGCCGGTATTGGACTGTAGAAGCGTAACGCTTACAGTGCGGAAGTTGTCAACACAGCAGGACGACGGCTGAACCCAACCAAAGGACAATGCGAACGCGGTCAATGTCCGTTATCATTGTCACATGACAACAAGAACAACGCAGACAAACGCGAGCACACGCTGGGACCAGACAACGGTGATCGCCAGCCCGGCAACAACCGAGACGTGAACACGGACATAACAACCACCGTTGGCACGTTTGCGGGAAGTTAACGCAACAGGAAGACGGTTGAACCCAACCAACGGACCATGCGAACGCGAACAATGGCCGGTATCAATCCGACGCCACCACCGCCCCTGACGAGACGACTCCACGGCCGCATGACAACAACAGTCATTGGTCTGCCTGGCAAATTTTACCCATAAATACTATGACAATTCATGTAACTATTACCGTTGACAATGGAAGCTTGTATAATTCCGAAACGTCAGGACGATAAACCTTTGGTTCTCGTGATCGCCTTACCTTCTCACACTGAGGTATATACAAAGTTGGCAGTCTCATATTGCACGTTGGTATTATATTTTTGAAATCTTTGCGTTTATGTTAGAGAACCCGGCAAATATTTTCCCTTAATAAACCATTGTGCGCTTTAAAAAATCGATTATTACTATTATTATTTTTGTTTCATGATGGAAAATTCAGAAAATCGCACAATTAGGAAATACGAGTTGACATCCGTTGATGAGCGTTCACCGACCGCTAACGGAAAACCCCTTTTCCCGCTCTGCCTTGGCCGCATTTCTCGGGCCCTGACACCAGCTAGTAGTCTAGGCAAATATAATTGCCAGCAAAGACAAGGGAGACTGGAATAGCTATTTCTGGTTTATTAGCAGTCGACAGGTACACGGGCTCCCAATCCGTAAATAAGTGCAACGATTTTCCCATTACATATTCGGTGCTGAGAATCATTTTGGCCAAAACAAGTCACAGCTCGGGGAACAGACAGGCCACAGCGCCATTTTACGCCAACACTGCTTCTCGTTGGTGACGTGGCCAATCGGCACTCACGCCATACAGTTATCGATTTTTTTTCCACACGCTTAAATTTTAACTGCTTTGCCCTGTAAACGCCTGTGCATGCGCTACCTGTATCTGCTACGGCTCTCTGATCATGTCTCTGATGACGAGTCCGCGACGGATCTAGAAACGTCAGGCGAATAAAAATATTGTCCCAGCGATCGAATCATCATCATCTTCTTCTTCTCAATTACTTCCTGGGACTCGCATGTTCGCTGTTATTGGCAATACTATATGCCCAAGACTGCTAGCCGCTCCGGCTGCTGTCAGGGCTCGAGAAATGGGGAGTCCAAGGCAGAACAGGACAAGCGAGTTCCGTTAGCGGTCGGTGAACGTCCACCAAAGAGTGTCAATAGCGCGCCCGACCTAAAACCAGCAACATTTGAATGTTAAAGTCAAGTGGATGCCCAGGGAGAAATGTTGGTCTGGAAGCACTCACGGGTTTAGAGGAGGAGGAGGAGAGGAGAGAGGATGTGAAGAGTTGAGTATAATGGAAGCCATGGTTTGGTATGTTGGAGGGCGCCAGTCCAGAGAAAGAACCGGTGCGTGGGGGGAGACGAAGACGCGTTATATCATCGCACACCAAGACTTCCACAAATAGGAGATAGGGGGCCTGAAAAAAAGAAATAAAACGGAAATTTGTAGACAAGTATAATGACAATTGTGAGGCAGAAGATGCAAGTTCTGTGCCCACATGGCGGTCAGTTAGGTGTGTGAGGTACACAGGTTAGTAGGAGGTTGAACTTCTGCCCATCTAAACACTCCTCTGATTATGTTAACCACTAGGAGTTGTTCTAATATTGTTATTGGTCTATAGGCATCCTTTGGCGACCAATAGGAGTTTATGTGTTGGTCAATTTTATTCTTTGCCCCTTTTAATCTAGTTCCTACTGTACACTTATCACGCATTAACTACGCCATAACCAAGCATTAACCACGGTTTCCTTAAGAAACTTGGGCGGGGGAACGTTTGCCATCAGCCAGCCTCACATAAAAGCCTTACCGAAGACTTTAACGGCAAGCTGACGCAAAAAGTGCGCGGTTAAAAGGTTCAAACACAGTCGCTTTTACTTGAGAGGAAAGTCAGAAGTCTTGTTGAGCTTAGGCTACACAGTGCTTAAAGGGCGCAGAAGGCAAAAATATTACCCGCCTCCCCCCGAAATAAATGATCTGCAGAATGAAACATTTTAAACTTTAAGGAGAATAAAAAGCAGTTTATGAGCTTTCACATTACTGCCAGTTAATTCGACGCCGGTGGATCATGACTACACACTCCAGTCACCTGTGTACTTTTAGTAAACAAGAGACCTTAGTTACGTAATGTGGCATTTTAGACGGCTAGCGACGTCGTCCCTAAAATAAGCAAGCTTTGCTGTGGTAAACGACACCCTCTTCAAAGGTCCACATTTTCAGTAGGTCAAATTTCCGCCCCGCTAAACACTCCTCTGATTATGCTAACCAATAGGAGTTGTCTAATATTTTTACATCGGCCTATAGGCATCCTTTGGCGACCAGTAGGAGTTTATGTGTTGGTCAACTTTATTCTTTCTACAGTCTCTTCACACATATATTTTTATTTTTCCCCTAAAACAATTACAGGCGGCTTTAATTTTGTTTCCTACTGTATACTTAGCACACATGACCTACGCCTTAACCAAGAAATGAAACTTTTAACCACGATTTCCGTAAGAAACTTGGGCGGAGGGGAACTTTTGTCATTAGGCGGTCTCACATGAAGGCACTATCGAAAATTGTAACGTCAGGCTGATGCAAAAAAGAGGGTGGTCAAAAGGTTTAAACACAGTAGGTTTTAAAGCTTCTTTTCCCTGGCGAAAATTTTAAGATTGCATAAACAGCAAAATTTAATGGATCCATCAATTTCGAGAGTGCTCTTCAGTTGCTTCCTCTCGTTGCATAACGTGAATTAACGTCAGAGAAAATACACAATTGAATTCATACGTTAATTCACGTTATGCAACGAGAGGAAGCAACTGAAGAGCACTCTCGAAATTGATGGATCCATTAAATTTTGTTGTTTATACAGTAGGTTTTACTTAATAGGAAATTCAGAAGACCTGTTGAGATAGGAACACACAGTAAACAGAAGACGCAAATCAATAATATTACCCGCCCCCGAAATAAATGATCTACGGGATAAAACATAGTAAACTTTAAAGGAAAAAATAGTTGATGAGTTTTCAGCGGCCTAGTACATAAGTTCCGGTTAATTCGACATCGTGAAGCGCTGCTGGGCCATGACTACACACACTCCAGTCACCGGCGTACATTTAGTAAACAAGAGACCTTAGTTACTTAGTGTGGCATCTTGGCAGGTTGGAGCGACGTCATCCCTAAAATAGTCAACAACAACCTAACTGAACGAGTTATTTTTGCGGAAAT